TGCCGCAACCCACATCTGATAGGAAAACATTTAATTTGAGCAGAGCTTAACAGCGCTTAACGTGATCTATGGAGAGCAAAGCCTCGGGGCCCGCGGCACAAAGCAAACTGCTTCTGTAGGCACGAGCACCGCGGCGCGGCGAGGCCCGTACGGCGGCTTGCTGCAGCAACCTGCCTTTACTAACTCCTTCTCTGGACCCACACTGCAAGCATCACCTTTCGGGCGTTTATCAATCAGCAAAGGGGTCAAAAACTGGAAGGAGAATGAGGATTGAGCCACTCTGCAGCCCTGCAAGATCCCTGGCACCCAAGGGATCAGCTTCTTGGGAAGAGACACGGCTCCGGCTCGGGCTCTGCTGCATCGGCTCCCCGTATCCCTCTGACCGAGTACCGGGAACAAGAGCAAGTCAAACAAAATGTGCAAGGACGGAGGGGGTTAAAACGCTTGTGAGAAAAATTTAAGACACATGTCGAAGCATGTCATATGTGGACCTTATAAATTACACCCCCAAATGACTAGTGCTGAGTAAGAAACAGCTATGTAAACACAAAGGTAATGAGAAAAAATAATAATTTCTCTCTCTCTCTGGGGAAGGGATATTTTCTCCATCTGCTTATAGGAAAGGCGAGGGGCGGGTGGTGCTTTGGGGCGTTGAATAGAAGTGTGGGGTCTCTCTTGGTCTCCGGTCTCATCCGTCACCAGAATTACCCCGCGCTGCAGCACGCGTTTCCCATCCGCGGCGTTTGCTTTGCTGCTGCTGCGAGGGCTGCCAGCCCGAGCGCTGATAGGGATCTGCAGGTCAGACTCCTGGCGATCCCGGATCATTAGGAAACAAACACATCTGAGAAAGCTGCAGTTTAGACAGAGTTCCCATCGAACATAAAGGCCTTGTAAATCTGCAGGGAAAACAGGGAAATTTCTTCTTTAAGGCATACAATGAGGTACCAATGAGGTTTCTGGTTTGTTTGCAGCAGTTAATCTGAAGAGGAACCTTAAACAATCAGATCAAGGGAAAAAAAACCTCTTGCTGGGAAAACAATGGAGTATTTGTTAGTGCTGCAGTGAATGGGGCTTCAGGATGTCCCCGCTGGGAGCACGGCCACCGCCCCAGGCCCCACAGCACCAGGGATGTCCCCAGCCCAACCTCGGCCACGCCAGAGCCGTGGTCAAAACCAGGAGCACGACCAGCTCGCAAATCGGTTTTGGAGACCAGAAAGCAGGAGGATGACAAGGACGAGTCGCTGCCACGGCCCTTAATGAGCACGAGCAGCCCCTGACCCCACGGCCTGTCCCTTTGTCCAAGTCTATTAGTGGCTTCCTTTTAAATTAAAACTGTATGTATTTAGAAAGCCATGTGCAGGGTAGGGCTGCGCAGACTACATGCATTTTAGCGAGCAGCATCACTGGAGATGCTGGTAAAACC